CCCCGTGCTCCCCCCCCCCCCCCCCCCGTCAATAGTTAACATGTTCCTGATCCTCTCCAGCCTCCACCTCTCATTTAGTTTAGCTTGCTCAAGGATGCAAATTACCTAGGATTTATTTCCAACGACTGACACTTTTAAAAAGGCTGTGGATTATATGCAGAAAAAGTATTGGTAACTGTTTTACTTAAGGATTTCAGAGTGTGTGTGTGTGCGCCCGTGTGTAATTCCGTATATAAAGATAAATATAATAAATCTGAATATATATTTTTTTAAGATTTACAATCTGCATATTTATCAATCCAATTAAGTCATTCTGGCTCTAACAGCTTAAATTACACAGATCTGAGTTTAATTTCCCCTTCTCCATACTTTTGAGGAGGCAAATGGGTTTCAAAAACAAATCCATTTCAGAATGTTTTGTTTTCTGGAATACCTTCCCACTTGCTTAACACTGGAGAGTGAAGAAAGTTATATACCCCTTTCAGCCACTGGAAAAACTATTCACCTTTTTTTTTTTTTTTTTTTAATAAAATATCTGAATGGAGATGCTGCATTTAGGTTCACTGCAAAATACCCAACAATCCCTGCATAAAGCAAAGTTTCCTTATATTTCAGCAGATAATAAATCACCTCACCGGAGTTTGAACTTACTCATATTTCACACAGTAATTAGTAGCATGCACTTCATGCATTTGTGAGCAGAGCACCAGAAGCAGGTTGTGATCCACTGTACATAAATAAGCAAGTGATGGAAGATCTTACGCTACTTCACCTTTTATTTCCAGGATTATTTAGAGATGCTTTATTATTATTATTATTATTTTTCTTTTTAAATCAAAGCTTAATTTATGTGGTATGTAACTCAGACATCACATGCCATGTGTGCATCTAATTTTGTGAGTATGGTGCGCCATATATTGGTTAAATAGTCACACCTTTGAAACTCAATCTGAAAGAGCATCAATTGTCATTCTGAACAAACATACGTCTGCTCCAAGCAAACGTGCTCTGGAGAAAAGAAAAAACAAACATGAAGCAATTTTGTTAAGCACAACGCTGAATCTCATCAACGGACAGAAGTGAGCAGCCACACCATACTAAGCCTTACGACAGGAAGCCTGTAAAGTCAAACTAGAGTTAAGAGCCCAAGCAAAAACTAGAATCTTATTATAGCTTTTTCTGCCTAAAGAGATAACACATTCAATTTAATGCATACATGAATTCTGACCAAGACACAACAGCTATACCAGTACTTTCGTCATTTCACTCAAACAACTAAATTGTTAATAATTGTTTTAAATAAAACCCAGGCATAAGTAACGCTTATTTAAAATAATAATGTTCATTTAAAATAGGTTCCGAAATGATGCTGAGCTTCTGTTTTGATACCTGTCCTCAAACTGCTGACTGGTGTGTAGTTAATTCTTTTCAATCATCCCACCATTCTTGCTATATTTTATCATTTAACAATAATATTTTTTCAAACTTATTATAACATCCTCCTGGATAGTTCAATATAGATTTTAGTGTATGTTCACATGATTTATTTACATGGAAATTAATGCATAATTGATGTTTATACTGCTTGTTGAAAATACATCCGTCAATTGGATTGAAGTTTTAGGACGTGGAATATAAATTGCTAGACAGCAGTGAGCATATGCAACGTACAAGCCACGCACACTTTAGCCAGGTGGTTGCTTTTAAGATGGGGCTTATGTTGGCATGTGAAAGGGGGTGAAAGAGGAATAAGCTGCAGCAAAATTCCTGAGTTTAGTTATTTTATTAGAATTCTTCCTGGGACCGTTCTGCCACTGCCCTAACAGGCAGTAAACATCTTCCTAGCAACAGTCCTCCGCTTGTACACAACACACACATCCATATGTAGCCGTAGAGACACTGGTCTTTTCAATCAGACAAGTATGCAACTATGGTTTTGTTGCTGTTGTTGTTTTTTGTTTTAAAGCACTAAGAATGATAAATAGAAAATATGTTTAAAACTCTGCTGCATGAAAGGGATCATCTCTCTCTGGACCATTCCAGTTTAGGATACCTAGGGAGCTGCCTCAGACAAGTAATAGAAAAGCATCTGAAATGGCAAGCAGTGTACAGCACTCAAAACTTTCTTTTGGGGGAAACGGACTGGCTTATCCTTCCCACAGCCAAAGAAATTGCAACATTTTAATGTGGAAAAGCCATTTCTAGCACTGTTTTTCTTATGTGTGTTCTTTTTTTAAGATGCATTTTTAAGATTCCTTTCTACATTCTCCCTTAAATAAACCCAGAACATAGGAGATAATGCGGGAGGGGAGGGAGAAGGGAATACGCATCTCCTAGCACTAATGCATAACTTAAAATCTGCACAGATAAAACATTTCTGTTTGAGGAGCTCTACTTAAAGCAAGTCATTACAGCAGGTAGTGCATTGGCATACTGTAATATACATCTCCTTACCTTATAAGGTTATTCAGACCTCCCATGTCTTCCTCCAAATCCCATTCAGCATCTCAACCTCTGAACTACACTGCAGAGCAGTTACTCTGTTTCACTGACAAAAAGTATCTTTGAATTAAAACTCTGACTTGGTCTCAAAGTTACCTCCAAAATCATTTCAGTGCACTCAGTTGCATAAAAAATAGGGTATCTGCATCAAAAAGAGTTCAGCTTTCTTGTCATCCTTGAGGGAATGGCCTGTATTTCCTGCTCTCAAAGAAAAGAGTCTTCAAATCCAGTGTTTGATTGCTACTGAATGCTGTGCCCTCAGCTAACCCTAAACCATGATCCATTGTTTCCCAAGTCCCTCAAGACCACTTTGTTTTTAAGGTATTATAAAGCGGTGAAATTAGAAGTATTTTATTTGTTGTTAGCTATTCCAGATGCTTTTGAACACTTAGTCCAAGTACTTGGTTGTTTTTGTTTGTTTGTTTGTTTGTTTGTTTTTTAAATCTCTGTACTTGGCAAGAGAGGGAAGATTTCTGTAAATGCTCTAGGGCATGTGCTTCAATTATTTAACATGTTCTTGTGTTGCTGAGGATATGACAATTTTTTTTTTGAGCTTATATTAAAAACATAGTTTAAGGAAGTCTTCAATTAAGGAATCTTTGCACTAAAGGATGGCGAAACTAAACAAACAGAAAGAAACGGCTGAGAAAATTTCTTTCCAAACCTATGTTCTGTGTACCAAAGGATCATGCACAGCCATAAAAAGATAAAAATTAGAGGCAGAAAGGATGGATGTTACATAAACATACCATAGGTGCAAACTTCCTCTCTCATAATTTACAGATGAAAATCATGGTGCAATTTGGCAATTTCTCTTCTGTTTCATTTTGGACAAGTATTAGCATTTTCTTTGTTAGTTCAGTAAAGCAGATGACCTTTTTCTTGTTTTTATTCTATTATCCAGCAGACTAACATTTACTACCTTTATTTACTTTTTGGGTGGAAAATACCACCCCTTAAAACGAGTATTTCTGAAAACAGTCAAAAAATCCAACCACTTTTGACTTATCAGCAGTTACTAGTGCTATTTCTGCTATTTTTCTTGTTGTTGTGTATTATTGTACACTACCTTTCCACAGCATTTAGCCTTGTCTATGATCTTCAGCGCAAACTCCTTTCCTGTGGATCTAACAAAAAAAATATGAGAACCGTTAGTTAATCAAAAACCGATCAACAATTTGTGGCACTATCTGTAAAAACGTATGTCACCATAATAGAATGCCTTGACCCATGGGGATTGCTGACAGAAAACTCACGTATCTGACTTGATTTGGTTTTTCCTTTTCTCAGCAACATTTGTGCCTGCTGTTGCCCTGACTACCATAAGCTAGCTCACTTTGTATATCAATCCCCAGCTCCAGCTGCAATTCATTCTTCTGTGACCGAGCTCCAACTCTCTGCCACCTCTTTAATGCAAGATGCAAAATTTGTATTGAGCGTTCCACTTAGCTTTGTTCAACTGGTAGGCTCTAAAGATAAAATTATATACAATATGCTTAAGTGAGCAGCAGAAGAAAGACTGATGCCCTAGTGGAAAAAATCAGCAGGATTCAGTAGAGCTAAAACCCAGTGGGGTTCATCAGAGACTAGTCTGAAATGCTACAGAATTTATTAGGTGCTGATGTCCCTTTGTATTTTGTTCAGATTTTTTTTTTTAACTGTTCTATGGAGCTTACAGCAGTATCTAAAGTACTATGACATTTAAAAGGGTGGTTATACAAATTAGAAAGGGATGACTGTTTTCAGTAAATGCTATAAGACTCTCGCAGAAAGAGCTCTCATTTGCTTTTTGTCCCTTTAAGCAATACAAAGGTTCTCCATTTTTCCAGAAGTGGGGGGGAAATGAGAGGGGGAAAAAAACCCCAACATAAATGAATTGTCATTAGTATAAGAAAAATGCCTTTTTTTTTTTTAATTTAAAGTAAGTTAAGAACAACACAAAATGCCATAAAGTGCTATTACTACTATTATTTTGTATTATGTTAATACTTAGAGACTCCACTGTGTGTCAGAACACCACTACTACATGTACAGTAATAAAAACACAGAGGCTGTCACGAAAGCAAAAATCGGGTATATTATTAAACTTAAAGGTTGATTTTCACTGTCTTTTTTGCATTAGATACAGCTAGTCAAAATTAGTATCTCACAAAAAAGGTACTGAATGAATGTCTCACATTAAAACTATTCATTATTGAAAACCTGCAGTGGAGAATCTCTGCTCTGGAAGTGCAGCTGTGTCTGCTGGGTTGTCATAGTTACAACCTGACCCAGGCTTTAGATTGACACGTTATCTAAATGGTATCTGTGAAGTGCTATCGTCTTATATTCAAGACCTGATGTAAGATCTACTGTGGACATGGTATATACAATTCAGAATTGCAGTTTATGTGTTATACTACGTTAAATGCATTATCTAAAAGCCTACAAATAACGAATCACCAAAACCCACTTAGGGAGCCTTCAGCATTTGTGTCATGCAGAAAGAGGAGTTAACACTCACAAAGCTAACTCATTAACCACCCTCAAATCCCTCCTGCAAATCTCCTTTACTCTAGCACCTAATAAGAAAGCTGGACAGCAGCCATGCAATTTGTGCGCTGATATCACTGCCTGTCATATTGACCAATATTGTCTTACGGTTTCTGGTACTCTGTTTAGCTGTTTGTATCTATCTGTTGAATCAGGTCTTTATATAGAGACATAGAGACACCCTTTGCTAAAGAGGTCGCCCTGTTTTTCTGTGTAGAAGGTCTGGTATAGAACAGGACCCTGGCTCCACCGCTAGGGCTTCTAAGCACTGTAGGAATAAAAATGAAGTATAAGAATTAAGAGAAATTAGAAGGTAAGCTTTTACAGCTGGCATTTCCTCTCTCATTGTTCCTGAGTTTAAATTTGGCCTTTTTTTTTTTAAATAATGGGAAGATTGTTTTTGTATTCCAGCCCCCTCATTCTTAACAGCACAGATGATTAACTTTCCAAACCCAAGTGGCTTAGCAGCTTCTGTCCCATTTTCAGTGGAACTTAAGTGACTTTAAAAATGGACAGTAGATATTCCTGAAATACACTTTTAGCCTGAGATCTTTTATGAATTCTGTTCAGTCCATACACAACAAAGGATGTGTGGTCAGGTTTAGGGTGTGTGTGAAGACAGTTTGAAAACATCAGTTAGTCTCACTCAAGCCTCTTGCATTAGTTTCTTGCAAAGAGAAAGCCATTTGTGAGACAGTTGCCTGCACTGCCTTCTCACGACTTTTTTTTAAAGAGGGTTGCAGTGTTTATTCACTGCAGGTTTTCTAAGCACTAGAGTAATGATTCCATACTAACGTGGAACCTGAGTGTCTCAGCAGAAACAACAACAACAACAACAAAAAAATCAAGATCTTGGAATCTATATTGATTGAGAAGTATTAGCTTAAACCTGCACATGAAACAGGAACTTGTTTGGAGCAGTAATAGTAGCATACTCAAGAATATTTAACCACTTTTTCCTGTAACAATACTGTGCTCATCTAGTAACTTTAGGAGATGCCCCCTCAGTCTTTATTCCTTACTACATAAGCTTTAGATTCCTGTATATCACATTTTCAAAAAGGTTATTAACAAGAATTATCATCTCATGTTACGAGCCAGAATGGAGTACTAGATGAGAAGGTCCCAAGTTGTTTTACATACCACCTGCCAATATAATTCTTGGCAATGGAGAGAAATAAAGCACACCAAGGACCACTTCTCTTGAGAAAACCCAATAATGGCTGCAGAAGGTTATGAATCATAAGATCAGCCTCAGTTCCCAACCCTTTTTGGGTATTTGTCTGGATGACTCTGCAAAAGTATTTATGAAAGACAGATGATCTAGTACGACTGCAGTGGGATGTTTCCCTTCATAATTACCTTCCCTTTCTTTTAAAGGAATTAGAAGAAAAGAATCACACCACAGAAACTGTTTCTGTAACCTCTGTATTTTTTACAGAGATTTGCTGAATTTGTCCCAGGAGGTAGAGATTCCTTATACTATTTAGGACACTGACATACATTTTAGTTTGATGAAGGTGGCTCACACAAGGTGGTTCTAAGAAATAGGCCGACAAACTGAGAGTCAAATCATCTGTTATGTTTGCACTAGTAGCAAAGTGTGACACAAAGCTTGCAGAGGAAGAGCAGTAATACAGCACAGTCTACGCTGCCTACCTCCTGGGAAGTCATGCACAAAAATATTTCACAGTCTGGAATACTGAAGGGCTGGTTTGAAAAGTCTCCGGCTCCTTACCGCATGCTTCCTCACAGAACAAGCAAGCAAAAGAGAGTCAGTGTCATACGGGCTAACTGCCGCAGGCTCCATGCCTTTAGGAATGGTTTGCTCACTGCAGATCAAATGCTGTGAAAAAAATCACCTAAGCAGCAGGCAGTTGGGGGTACACAGCAGCAGAACTGCTGAGGCAAACAGGCTGAGAGAGTACATAGCTGCCATATAAAATTCCCTGCCAAACATATGTCTCCCCTTTGTGGTGTGAGGGGGTTTCTTGAAGATCTGTGGGGTTGCTTCAAGAGCCTCCATTAGACGGTGATACCTCCTTTGTTTTTTGGGATAAAAAGCCATATTCCTCTGGTGCTTTCATTTTCCTTTGCTGGAATAACACATAGGAAGATCTGCATATTTCACCATGCATAGGTCTCAAAATACAGGCCTTTTTTTTTTACAACTCTTCTTTGATTTCATATAATTACATTTTCCTATGCAGTTATGCTAACGCACAGGGCTTTATCCAGTAAAACACATCGCTAGCAGTACTGAACATTTTCCTTGCTCACCGTTCTATGCACTCCTTTACTACAGCAAAATTGCCATCACCGATCACCTTTCCCACTTTGTACTTCTCGAGAATGGTAGATGACCCTGAGCACTTGTTTCCATTCACACCTGCAAAAAAGCAAAGTCAATAATGCATGCTGAAGAGAAGCGTCAGCACCATGTAATGTATCCTCCACAGACTCTATAGAGTCAAAACAGTGCTAAATACAAAACCGAATTTAAATGCAAGTTGTTTCCCTCACAGCTTATTCCCTTGTTGTTACCTTAAACGTAAGAAAGAACAAGATACGACTCATCAGAGTTGCCTGACTTTTTAACATACAGGTCAAATACTACTATTATTTGTGTTGATGTACTCTAAAAGTAATGAACGCAGTTAGAAATCCTTAGTCCAAGTATTCCTAAACTCAAGATACCTTTTTTGACGTATCGTGTCGATGTTTTTTGCATACTCAACAAAGGAAAAATGCAAATAAGATTCATCTACAATGCATGTAAAAGAACCAAAATGTCATGTAAAAAATATTTTTCTTTAACTAACAAAGAATCTAATCCAATTGTTCTTTTCCTCTTTACTTAGCCTATGCTAGGCTCTACAACTGCTATGCCAAATTAGCTTCTAGATATTTTAAAATTTCTTTTAATGAAGCAATAAAAACATCCACCAACGAATTAAGAATCATAGTTCCTACATCACATATTCCACGAACAGTCAGTAAACTGAAAGATGATACTAAAAAATTTAAACTGATACAAGGGAAATCAAAGAGCCATTCAGAGGCACCAAGTTTTTAAGGACTGTTTCTGAAAAGCATCAAAAGTTTTATCTGCTGAACTTCTTCAAGTTCTCTTAGCTGCTGCTGAAACAATAAAACACAAATAAGTTTGACAGCTACTTATTTTAGTATTTTTAAACTAGAAAACACACTTGAAGTAAATAAATCAATAAAAAGTTAACATTGCTTCAAAAAGCTAAGGAATGAAATGTTACAGTTAAGTAAGATCAGTTGATCAGCCTAGTGGTTCTACTTGAAGCCTAATGTGCTGCTATGAGGACTCCTCTTCTAGTCCAGTCACAACACATTTCTGGTGATATTTTGCAGGTCATGTTCAAAATCATTCAAATTCTCAGTGGTGATTACTGAAGAGCAGGGTCGACTAATGTGCTAGCACTTGACAAAAAATAAAAAAAAATAATTTCCTAATTTTAATGCCTTGATGTAGCAAATGAAATTAACAGTTTTTCCAAGATACGGCTGCCAATTAAGCATCAATCGTTTCAGAACAAAAATTGTTTTGGAGTTAGAAATCATCTAACATTGCTAAACCAACTCTCATCTATGCATAAACAAAGCTTATACAAGGACTGGTAGCAACTGTTCGTATCCTACCTTCAGGACTCTGGCAGTGGAGTGATTCGGGTACACCATTCACGTTGGAAGAAGATCCACCATGTGGAGGGAGCTATGGAAGAACATAAGATCTTGTTATCTCTGGTGACAAAGTAACCACAAGGAGGAGCCAGGGAGAAATTTAGAGAAAATAACAACAATATTACCAAAAAAAAAAACCCCTCTCAAACCTCCAGCCCTAAAAACCCATACACAGAGTCAGTTTGCTTTTGCTCTCCTATCTTATTCTTGTTCTCTCACAGTTCACCATCGTTCAAGTATATCATTGTCACTTGCACCCACTGAAGATCCAGCCCAGGTATTGTTATTTACATATGTAGTTCAACAGATTTCAGCAAGCCTATTAACAGCAAAGAAAATTCCCTGCAGCTGCACGAAGTCCCATCTGAAAACTAGAGCCAGCGCATGTGAAAGTAACACTTCCTCCTCATTCTGTGTAATAAAATCTTTACTCTTTGCGTACTGGATAATATGTATTTTCACCTCTAAGCCAGAGATTCAGACCCAGAGACAGTCATCACCAGACATCTATCTATTCAGGGGCCAGTGAAACACACAGGTAGTCTTGTGCTGCATTGCAAAACATCTACTTCACAGCTGGCGCTGTCTGACGTTTTCTTAACTGAATCCAGTCAACATATGCTCACTTCAGATTAGCACTGAAGCATGGTAGGAAGGTAGCACAAAAACGACTGCATGGCCCTACTAGTTTATGTTTAAAAAACAGCATGTTGGCATAAGCAGCCTGGCACATCTACGACAGTCAAATTCACTTTATAATTTAGCATTCTGTATTTTAGGTTATTACAGATGTGACGACTGAGGACATCTACAAACACTTCAAGTCCGTTATCTGATATGCATCCAGACATAGGTCCAATTTTAGTAACTGTGTCACTGCATAAAATTAAATATTCAAATAAACTTGGAAGATGAACCTGAAGACGACTACTTTTGCTGCACTAATGCCTTCATTGGTACTTGAGCCTAATCCTCACAATTCTGCTTAAAGTTCTTTTGTCATACTGCCCAGGGACATACATAGCAATCGTTTTTTATTTCAAAAAGGGGTGGAGGCATATGAATGAATGCAACAACAGTAAAACAGAGTGGACATGTTCTGTGCACCAGAGTACTGTCTTTTATAAGCTCTATCATTACAGTTTAAGCATAGGGATGCTCTATTAAATTAAAATATATTTTAGATCATTCCCTCTCCTCTATGCAATACTTTGTGGCTCTTCACGTGAAGTTCCACATCTTGTTTTCTTCATGGGCTATTACAGTAGTTCCCACCGCTCATCATATAAAGGATTAAAATGCTTTTCTGCCTTAAGCTCAGGATCTGCTGAGATGGCTTTGCATGACACCAGGAATGCAAATGCAGCATTTTCCATTTTAGCTAACATTGTCTGGTTACACTGCAGAATATTTTAAATCATTAAAGCTATTGTCAGTGAAAAAAACTGAACTGATAGATAGGGATACTGTCTAAAGGCTCATGAAATGCTAATGAATGCTTAAGTTTCTAGTGGCAGCTGAGCGACCAAATCAGCTGAAGGTACAGTAACTAGAAGCCATACAACTTAATTTTGCAGAGCCACAAAACCAATGCTGTTTACATTGTCTACATTACGTGTACAGCTCAGATAGCATTTGGCATAGAAGTAGCATCAAACAGCAGCCAGGCAGCTACGACCTTCTGCTAATCACTTAAAACCAGGCTACGCTAATACAGCTGTCTGAGTTATCTATTTATATAACAAGGACCAGGCATGAAGACATCTGGTTTAAATGACATTGAAGTAAAATCACAAGTCAGTCTTTTAACCTGTCAGTCACATTTTCTTCAAGCATAAAGTGAGGATAACAGTCCTGACCTACTGTGTCACTGGGTGGGGATCCTCAGAATGAATCACTGCAAAGTATTAGTCATCAGCCAGAAATATTAGTCATGTGCTTTGCGTTTTGAGCGACTGACAATACACGGGAATATCTAGCCCACATTTCCAATTTCCTTCTCCCTTGTAATCAGGTCACAGCATGACTGGACAAATTCCTTCTTACCACAATACTTATAAGAAGGAACAAACAGGAACGGGGTGGGGGAAGACTAATATGAACTAAGAAACATCTAATGCCGCTGTTGGGCTGCATTACTAGATCAGAACCTGAGGCTGCAGGTTTAACCTTAGCTCTGCCACTAATTTACCACAACTCTAGGTGCGAGTTCAAACCCATTCTGCCACAGAGGGTCCCTGCATCGTGGGAGCCGTGGGTCCATGTCTCAATTCCTCAGCTGCAAAACCAGTCTAGTCTTTCTCTGCTGCATCAGAGCACAGCAGAAATAAAATCTCTCATGTTTGTGAGTGCTTGACTACTCAGAAACAGTGGGAAAGAGGTAAAAGTGGATAGTGACACAGCAACGTCTAAGTAAACAGTTACAGAGTGATCAGCATTTGCCTTTTTTTTAATTGAATAAACACAACAGAACAGTCATGAGAAAACTACCCAGAATTTGAGATTATTAACAATAAAGTCATTTTCTAATCATCATTTATCTACCCAGTGATATGTAATATTCAGAATATCCAGCACTGTAGATGGATATTCAATGTTTAGATGTAGATTCAATATTTAGAATATCCCAACAGCTGCAGGTATTTTGAAATTGAAGTAACAACTCTGGATGTGCAAGCAAACTGAGTGGTTCACTAGTCATTCTGTGGGTATTAAGAAGAGAAAATAATACATATTGCTTTGGTACTACTCTAGTAAATATGGAGCGAATCACACTGGAAATCAGGGTTTTCAATAATTCCTCCTCATGTATTCGAGTCCACACAGCGCTATCGCCCTCTTCCAGTAAATTTTCCCTTACGCATGACAAAGTGCAGAGGATTTAAATCCACCCTCTCACATCTATATGCAAATTCCTAGAAAACTCAAACCTGAGGAGGAAATTGATTCTTCATTTTTAAAAGCTCAGAAAAATTTTGAGCAGCAATGTCTCTTCAGCACTTTGAATAAACCAGTCACCTGAGAACGCAGATGCCACTGGCCAAGAACATCATACGCTAACAGTCACTCCATTGCATTTAAGCAATGTGCAATACAGAATATTGCAATCACTGCCTTTATTTCCCTCAAGTTGTCTCCCCACAGGTAATTTGTGTTTTGACAGCACATCCAGAGCCAAATGCACCATGCAACACAGCGCTTAGAGATCCTGAGAATGTCTCAGTGAACATACAGTTCTCAAAGCTAGCTGCAAATTGTTTTACAGCCTAATTAAAGATGTAAAATGCCTCAAGCTCTGCATAGAAAGAAACTGTCTGTTTCAGCTTCTTCAGACAGAAGCGTGCTGATATCGTTTTCTACATGACATTACTTTATAAAGACTGACTGTGCCTTGAGACACTAGGTTCATCAATATGACAGGTGGTTTTGTGAGAGACACTCACGCTAGATATGCCATACCTACAAGTGTAAAACATTCTTTAATACCCAAAGTGCTACCTGCACCCTGACATATTAACTTAGCCAGAAGTATTTAGCATTCTTCCCTTCCTTCCTCCTTAAAGTCAAACCTACTAAAAACTCTTATTCTAACTAGCTGTGGCCACTAAGCGTGCAAAATTATTTTCAAACCTATTTAAAGGAATTAAATTCTTTCATAGTAGAACAGATTTTCTAGCATCCTGTCAAGTTACATCATTTGATTCAAGTTACTACTTGTATTTTAAAAAGTTTGAAAAAACAAAATAGTGCAAAGAAACTATGCTCTACAGAGAAAATCTAAATTCTGTATGACTAATATCAAGTCTGTCCACAGGAAAATCCCTCTGTACAAGATATGTTTAATGACCACTAAACTATTATGACTTCATTCACTGTGAAGTTTCTATTTCTAACATATAAGAGAAAAATATCCAATACTGCAGTGTGGGATTTTTTTTTAAATCTGAAGTATCCAATGTATATCATGCCAGATAGCTGCATCCTGACAGATACTGTGTGTCTTGGGTTTTCTCCTTTTAAGTCAATGATAAGAAAATGAAAGTGTACAGAAAGATCAAACAAAAAACATAAAACCCTTTAAATCAGTACAGAATCCAAGAGCATGAACTGAAATGGGCATGCAAATGTAAGGTGATGTTTAAGTAGCAGGGAAAGACTGGCAAGTGTCGCTTAAAATCTGGTTCAGAGCCCGAGTCCCTGATTTGCGAATGAAAAAGCAGAAGCTTAGCAGTCTTCATTTTAATTAGTTACATCCAGTAGCAAAGATTTTTTAATAAATCTTTTGAGTCAAAACAGTACAGCATAGCTGAAAAAAGTAAACTTAGTGCGTGTATTTAAAATATAAAGGTGGAAGGAGATAAGGTCATTCCAGATGACTACAAATCTGGTGGGATTTTATTTTTTGTGTCATGAGGAAGTGCGTGTGAGGAAGGATTTATGGATATAATTCCACGTTCTCTCTAAGCGGAATGCTACCTTACGTGACAAAGCTCTGTCCAGGACTCAGTTCATTGCCCATGGCACAAATGTTTGTTTAAATGTTTTGGGCTGTTTTCATATTGAAAGGAATTAACTAGTCTCTTGGCAGCTATATGGGATGGTGCTTTCTACAGCGCTTGTTTTTCTGTAGAGTTACAGTTTCCCATCTGAAGGTTCCTCTGTCTGTCCTTTTTGCCTGCTTGAATAGAAAAGAACAACTTTTGTCATCTGGTTGCTGGTCACATAAAAGTTCTGTGTAAATGGTCAAGTGCAAACGAGTACTGGACCTCAATCAGACCTGCTGTTGTTGCTCAGCACCTGCATACGATGACTGAGGTACACTAAATCTGCTGTCCTTGTACTCCAGCACATTCATGATACGCTGAACAGACTCTAAACTGTTTGGTACATATGTACATGTCTGCGTGCAGGTGTGCACACTCATCCTTGTCTGGGAAATTCCAGACAGAAATATGGCACCCCATGCAAACATCACTGCTGTTATTTTGAGGTCCTGCAAAACCCTCAAAGTGCACATAGCCAAACTGAGAA